TAAACCGTTTCCAGGTAACTTAACTGCATCCTGGAAAAAAAATTGAAGAATAGCTAGAGATGAAAAAGAAAAAAGTCTTAAAAAATTCTCAACACAGTATCCCTGGCAAAAAGAAAAAAAAAATAGTTAAAGGAATACAGAAATACCCAGCACCCAACAAGGTAAACTGTACAAAGTCTGATGTGCAATCAAAATTAACAGGCAGAAAAAAGCAGAAAAATTCAATCGGTAATGAGGGGGTAAAACATCAATCAATTGAAACACCAACTTACAAATGACACAGATGATAGAATCAGTAGACAAAAGCATTAAAAGTTTTTTGGGGTTTTTTCTTTTGTTTTAAAGACAGGGTCTTGCTTTATCGCCCAGGCTGGCGTGCAGTGGTGTCAACATAGTTCACTGTAACCTCCAACTCCTGGGCCCAAGTAATCCTCCTGTCTCAGCCTCCTGTGTAGCTAGGACCACAGGCACACACCACCATGCCCAGCTAAATTTGTTTTTTTCTTTTTAGAGATGGGGTCTCACTATGTTGCCCAGGCTGCTCTCGAACTCCTACCCTCAGTTGATCCTCCTACCTCCTAAAGTGCTGGGATAAGAGGTGCAAGCCACCATGCCTAGCCAAAGTAGTTATCATAAATGTATTCCATATATAAAACCTAGAGGAAAGACTGGGCACATGGTAAGTAGAAACAGAAGATATAAAAAGGACCCAAATCAAACTTCTAGAAATAAAAACTACACTGGATGGCATTGACAGTATACTAGATATTGCAAAAGATATGTGAACTTGAATAAACAATAATAGTAACTATCTCAAACTGAAACACAGAGAGGAAAAAGACAGAAAAACTGAACAAAGCATCAGTGAGCTGTGAGACAGTTTCAAGTAGTCTAAAACACCTATAACTGGAGTTGACCATGGAGGTGAGGAGGACAGAAAAAATATAACAAGAAATAATGGCTGAAATTTTCCCAAAGTTGATGAAAACTATAAACCCATATATCCAAGAAGCATAACAAACCCCAAGCACAAAAAACATGACCAAAACTATACCAAGGTACATCATAATCAAATTTCATAAAACCAGTAGAGAAAATCTTAAAATCAGCAAAGAACAATGAACACAAAGGATTAAAACATTAAATATGTACAAATCCATGAATTCATAATAATACTTAAAAAAAATAAAACCACAAAAAGTCACTGGTCAACTTTCAAGGTGGTTAGGACAGCATTACTCTAAGAACTAATAAATAAAGAATGAAGCATTTCATGTGCCTACAGATTACATTACAAAGTATCTAAGTAGTTGATAAGGGACAGTGCTTCTTAGAATTCTAATAAATGCAAAAACACTGAGAGAATTACAAAATCATCATTTTTTAATCCCTAATGAATAATGAGTCCACTAGACACAGATCACTAATGATTGCTAATTACCACTAAATAAGAAAGTGATGGTGGAACTTTATAATGGATGAGTCAGAATGAAAACACTTGAACTCATCAACAAACCTTAATATCATTAAAAGTGGGCTGTGTTTCCTGCTATGATGTCATAGAAAGTACACAGCCTGGCTGAGACCAGCCTGGGCAACATAGCGAGACCCCATCTCTACAAAATATTTAACAAATTAGCTGAGTGTGGTGGTA